TTAATTTTAATATATTATCAGGTGTCGATCGAGATTTTAATTCATTAATTGTTAAATAAATTTTATTTCATTTTTGTCTTTTCATTTATTATTTCCATTTTTTCAGGGAGCCGTGAAATTAGATCCACATTTAAAGAAGTACTTGGGTGATGAGTTTCCTGCAGAATGCAATACAAACGTTACGTGGACATACGTAACTTTTGACAAGCAGGCAAGTTTTGTTGCATTTTGAAGGTAAGATAATACAACCTTCTTTTACCACTTGTCAGGCTTGTGATTGATAAAATGTTTGATAAAATTAAAAAAAATAAAATGATAAAAATTCGTCTTTCTAGATTTTGCATATTTTGAATTTAAATTTTGATACATAATCAGAGTTAAGTTATGTATCTACAAATTTAGAATTGTTAAAATTCTTTGAAAAAATCGGTTATTCAATTCATCCCTTTCAGAATGAAGTTTTAACAGACTTAATTACACGTTTGAGTATCGAGCTGAAGCTACCTCAATCGGAGAGGAATACGTATGCATTAAAATTTGAAGAACGTGATAATGATGGTGTTTTTCTAACCAAAGAAAATCGTGGTTTGGTACCCCAAGGGTTCATTCTCATTTTAACCGCATCTCCGGTATTTTTTTCAACCACATTTTTTGTTTTTTCTGAAATCTTTTCTTAGTAAATAAATCCAAAATCGTTATTTCTAAAATTTTCTGAAATAACAACTTCGGATTTATGTTAAAATTAGGAAAAAGAATTTAGTGGTATTTGAAAATAGTTGAAGCACATAACAGTTGCAATAGAACTGCATGTAAATAGGCCCATACATGAGCACAATAAATAAGTATAATTGCTTTGCAATTTTTGATAGATATCAAACATATTTATGGACATACAAAAACATATATATATATATATATAATATATATATATATATATATATATATGTTTTGGTATTTACACCCATATAGGTATTTCTGAAGTTTTGTTTTCTTTTGTAGTAGTTGAATTAAAGTCGGAATTTTTCCTTACATTTCGATATATTTCCCAATCGATTATTTTAGATTTTAACCCGATAATTCATAAGATTAAAAATCTAGTCTTCTAATGATACTTGTTTTCTTCACAGGAACGTTATGCACACAATCTTTTGGCACGTTTACGTAATTCTTCAACTCATACTGGCGATCTTCGAGTAACACTTGCTGAACTGATCACTTTATGTAGTGATATTTCATTTGCAACGCAGTTTATGCGTATAGGTGGATATGACTATATATTTGAAATTATCGAAAAAGGATGGTGCGCTGAGTATGCATTCAACTTCATTTCCTATAATATTTCATCAAAATTTTCTGGTTTTTCTTTCTAGCAGTTTCGGATTTTTTTCTGGTGAATTTTTCCAATGCCGTCAAATAGTGTCAAATTGGCTAATTTCATATTGCAGTTTACTGCAATGACCTATGACCTATATCCCGAAATAATGGGAAATTTCTATTGGACTCATATTAGATTAAATTGGACATTTGCCTGAGAATGAATGATATCTTTCTAGGTTAAACAAGCCTTGCTAATCAAATTTCAAGATTGCAGCAAACAAATTTCTTTTTTTAGTAGCGTTTCGTCCCAGTCACGATTCCTTCAAGCATTGCTGATATTGATGGATCATCCTGGTTTAATGTATTGGTCACAGGTTTCGGATGCATTTATTTCCAAAATAGCGGAAAATATTACCGGCAAAGCTAAGCAAGAGGACAACATCTTACTGGTTTCATCACTTAATATTATCGATCTCATTTTGAATTCTAAGAAGTATTGAATTTTTCGAGTATTTATAGAAATAAGCTTGGCTTATTTGACTAACTTTATCTTCGGTTTAATGGCATTGCCTTCATAATATGCTTTCTGATCATTTCAATGATATTTTGGTTTGTTGGGCACTAGATTAGTTAAAATTGCACTCGTTTCAACAACATTCAGACAAAACATTGGTATGCGAGATAATCTTAGCTTTATGTCATGATAGACTTTTATTACCACCATCAAATTCACAGATTTAGTTTGTATTTCGTAATTTTAATAAACATGAATGTTTTATCAAGTTCTTTTTTCTCTAATTTGATATTTAGAAATCGTAAAGTATATTTCTGGAAATTCCATGTGAGAGCTTCTTGAACGATACTTCATGTTTTTGATAATGCTTATGCTTTTGAATTTCAGTGAAGAAAAAATGAATTTGGTATTACGGGAGGTACCCTTCGAATCGCTTATACGTCATCTTGAGAAATCAGACGAACGAGTCATTTTGAATGTTCTGACGTTAATGAATTCTTTATACAACAAAGCTAGAGACCATGTGAAAAATGATATCGTAGAGGTAAGGGTAGAGATCTTTAGTATTTTATAAATTATTTCAATAGATTTTAATATTACTAGTTTTAAAAAATAGTAGTATTGACGGTAAAACTTGTTCTAGTGACAACTATGATTTTTAGAGGTGATAACAGTCAGTTATAAATAATAGCCAGTCAATATAGAAAAGACAGTTGAGCTCGATCACTTCATTCATTCTTTAAGCTTAATTTAGATTTCGGATGTCAAAAGTTGGATTCTGAATTCTATTCAAAATTTGCATTTTCATTTGAAATATTAGTAATGTTTTACACTTGCTTTTGTTATTTTTCTTATTACTTTCTATCTCTTTTTTCCTTTTGTATAATTTAATATTTGTGTATCTAATTGGAAATACCTCACCAGTATCTAGATTTTGTAAAAAAGCCAAGAAAGTAAAATTCTCAGAATCCTAATCCAGAAACTATCATATGTTTGTTTATTCATTTTGTTCCTTAAACCGTTTAAGAGTGCCATTTCAATCCTGAACAATGACACCATTTCAATTCATTGTCTTCCATAATACCAAATCTTTTTCTCTTCCATAATATCAAATATATAATATCAAATTTTAAGCATCTCCATGTAACACCTTTCCGTCATGCAATTGAAAAATCGGTACTGAGAAAAGGAAAGCAATTGGATGTTGGAATTGAGCAGCAACTTGTTACAATACAACGTATACAGCTGAATAAACTAACACAAAAAGCTCTGCGTATTCCTACAGAAGCAGAAATTGAGCGAGTTTTTGTAGGTTAAAATTGAAAAAATTACAATTATACTAATTTGTATATTTTAAAAAGTGGGGGGAGAATTTTTCGAATAGATATTTTTTGATTCTTGCATTCAAATTCTAATTTATTAATATTATTTATTTGATTATATATGAATGATTATATGTGTACTCTTTATTGGTGTTGTATACGTTTTAAATTAGCTTTATATGGAATCAAGGAAAATCTGATGAAACTTTATTTTGTTTGACAGTTGCCAAGTTTTTACAATTTCAGCAACTGAAACTTTTGAACAGTGAAAGCAGTAAAGGGATTCATGCAAATGTTATATCAGACGAAAAGCATGCAGAATTTTTAAATTTCACTGAAGCAGTTGTACAAACACCACCAGGATCATTAGCACTGGAAACAATTCAGTTATTTGTAACTCATCATGCTGATTCCATTGCAAAAGTAAATTAATAACCTTTTAATATAATTTAACTGTTTGAACAAAATTCAGGCATTTTTCTTTCGCATTTTTTTTCTCACTAACAGTTTTTATTTCAGATTCGATTTTAATTATAAATATTATTTCAAAGCATATAGTATTTCATCACACAGCCTCTTGATTTTATAGTTTTCTTTTTTTTTGCAAATATACGAAAAAATGACTTGGAATTAAAACATTCTTTGCTATTTGAAAGTATTTACCATACTACATATGATTTAATAATGACGCATTAATTCCAGATATCGTTGGAAAATTCAATGAGATCTGATAACAATCTATGGTCCCTTCTGTTTGTATCGGTTCATTTAGTGCAAATGTTGATTGACGTTCTTCATGTTATTAATGAACCTGGTAAAATATCAAAATCGTTTTCCATCTTTCGGAGAAATAAACAGGCAGCATATGCTTGAATCATTACTCTATAAGTAACCAAAAAGTAAACGATTTATAGAAGAAGGTGATCGATTAATGGTTTTATTGTTCAAAAGTGATCGACCATTTTTGGATTTTTTTGCGGTGCTTGTGAAACTTTTTCATCGTACGTGGCGTGAAATGCATGCAAGTGAAGAAGATATTAAAAAGGTACGATGGACTTTTAGGACTAATATTAGCAGTTTTTTCTTTTTTTGTACTATGAAACTTTTTCAATGTTTTGAACGAAATTAATGGAATTGTTGGAAATACAGGACTGGTCAAGTACATTACTTTTGCTAGTTACTGGCTTCTAATTGAAATAAAGCCTAGTCAGATTCAGAGATCCCAATTCTGAACATTTATATAGCTAGCTGACAGTTAGGTTGGGTCATTGGGATTCTGAAATCTTTTTTCTAAAAATATTGTGTGACTATGCAGAAATTTGTCAATGATAGGTCATTTCAAATTTTGAATCTAATATAGATTTGCCATCGACCCATTTACCACAAATGTGATATCATAATTTCACACCTACCGCTTATTCACGAAATATATGAGTG